CTAGCCTTGGTGCGGTATTATTGCATATTAGTGAAAAGATGGTGAAATGCAAGCAGCGTTACATCGAAAATAGTGCCCCGCCCAGCTGCCGGATTCTACGCAGCATGGAAAGCGCTTCGTACATGTCTAGCTCTGTTGCTTATACAGGGACAAAATGTCTTCAGCGCCTGCAGAGGCAGCACGAAGGCCCATTTCGTATCCGGGGCAGGTTTTTCGAGTCTGGGACAACACTGGCACGGCCGGCTGCTTGTCAGCAGCTCTGGAGTGGCAAATGTATCAGATGGCTCCCTCTTTGTGGCCGCCTTGCGGGATCCAGCTGTCAAACGTATCGTTCTCACATCTCCACTGGTCGATGTCCCGCCTGACACCTGGGAGGCGGTCGGCGGCAACCTGCCCATCCCCATTACCCGCAATTTGACGTTGGAAGGAGACGAGGCGGACTGGCCGCTCCTGCGCCTTCACTACGTGAGGGACGTGGTGAGCAAAGACGGGCGTGCTGTGCATACATACTTAGGTACACTGTAGCGTTATTTCATACACGGACGTTCGATGGTGTGTTGTTAGTGCAAGGGCGGTGCATGCATACTATGCATACTATGCAGGCGGCTGGTAGAGGTTAAGGCCTGACTTCTGCTCCCAGTCGACCCAGTCGACCCGGGTTCAAATCCGCCTGCCGGCTCCTCGGGTGTTTGAGGAGTGATGAAATGGGAGGTGGCCCCCCATCATATGGACGGTGTAGGACGTGATAATATCAACTTGCGAGCTGACCAGGAACTAAGTTGATGCGCCGTTGATCCGCTAGATTTGGTTGGATGCTGGTGGTGAGTTGCCGAACCCAACGAATACATTCTGAAGTCGGATGGGGTGACGGATTAGGGTGCCCCTCTAGCAGGGGAGAGCAGGGACTGCCCCGGGAAAGGGGGCCGCTGGCGAAGTTAACCACCCTGTAACAACATACATACTAGGGACCCGCGCGTTACCCTTTTTCCTCAGTGGCCACTGGTGCTGATATCACAACAAGAGGACAGCGCGCACCATACACCCTTTCACACGCACCATCTATCAAGTTGCCAGCAGGTATTTATGGTGCCCAAAAAGGATGTCAAGCCGGTGTCATCATCTATGGTTTGAATGGAACGAAAGATTAACTTCCTGTGCAATGTACGCATGTATGCTGTTGCTAGGCTGACAATGTCCCACATTGCTGCCGTACTTACATGTACATGTCATCCGCCACTCTTGCGTTCCTTGTCATGTATTATCAGGTTCGGCTCATGGACACGGTCATCTGGGCTATCCGCTTCCTGTTCCTGGACAGCGCAAACGGAGACAACATCTATCGTGATCAGGGCAAGTTAGCTGGCGTTACTCGCTTGATGGTATATACATGCATGCATACAGCCCGGAAAGCCACAGTGGAATTGCAGCTATTTCAAGGGCTGTTCATGTTGTTCGCTTCGGCTGCGGTTGCTCCAGGACAGAGGTGTCGTACATGCCACGCGCTGGTAGCCAGTGCCGCCAGGCTTCATTCACCTTTCCTCCAACTAGCTCCGTCCCATAAGCGATGCACGAGGATGACTAACCCATCGCATCAAGCATTTCGATAGCAGCTTGACACTGGCTACCTGATTGCGAGTCGATGGCGCTCACTACTGCCAGCAGGCGACGGCCCCATCAGTTTATAGCACGTTCAGCCATGCATGGCAAACTGATTGACCGGTGTTGCGCAGGCTTTTCCTTCCTGGCTCCCACGTTGCCAAACCAAGAGTCAGAAATGCAGTATGGGCCAGCAGCCATGTCAATGAGTAAGTCCAACCAACCATGCGTATCTTGATGCCCAACATCCAGTACACGCATGGATGCATCCATCTCCATGTGCTGATGATATACACTTCTTTCATCACTGGTAATTGGGGAATGCATGCACGTGTTGATGTGGGCATGAACATACTATTTACACTGATATGCCAGTTCAATGCAATTCAATTCAAAATATGCATACTGGTAATGAGCAAGAGGACAGAAAGTCTATTCCGTCAGCATGGTGCCTGGAGCATGCACTCTTCCATCCATTCACACACGGACAATCCCGTTGGCTATGTTCTGTTGCCATCAGCAGCATCAGCAGATATCATAAGTACAGCAGTCGCGTTGGTACGGTGTGGGCTTCTTCAACAGGGCGCATGTAATGTAATGTTGTTACAGAGTGCGAGGCTTTTGGGCTGATCGGGGGTGCATATGCATGTGCGTGGTGATGGGCTGCTGCACCCGCATGTGTCGCCAGGGTTCTGCTTCCCATCCAAACTGAAGCTACAAACCGTTAAGGCAGTCGAGAGGCCGGCGAAATACCCGAATGCCAAACAGCTAATGGTGCTGAATTACCACTATCCGGAGGTAGGTGGCTAGGTTGCACGCATGACTACCACATCGCCTGCGTGCTCGCAACATTGCCTTGTGCTGCCATGAAGGCCTGCGTGGCAGCTTACTTGCCTACAGGTCACAAGTTGTTGTTACAGAGTGGGAGGCTTCTGGGTTCTGGGTCTCCAATCAAACACATTTGGATTGTCGTATCTAGGATTGAACTCCATACACACTATGACGACGGGTGATCGCGTTAAGTCCGCGTTAGCTCGCGTTAGTTCGCGTAGCGGTGCGAATCTTAGCGTTAGGTGCGAATGAGCATGCTTTTGTAACGCAAAGAGCTAACGCACAACGGCTATGGAAAAGCGGAAATCGGCCCTTCTGGCCAAGTTTTTTAAAAATTTATAATTTTCAGATTGTAAAGGTTTATTTGGAAATAAGCTTGCGTCGTTTTGGTCGACTTGGACAATTCATCCGTGCGTATGTTGAAACGCGAAGCATACGCGCATGTGTAGCAAGGCGATACGCATGCGATTCCATAATGCGATTCGTGCGTGTGGGGAGACAATGCGTAAAGCAATTCGCGTCCACTCGCACATCAAACGCACACAGTCCGCAAGGCTATTTGCATGCGAATGCATGTTGCGTATCATGCGTATGAAGGCTGATTGCATAAAGCTTAACGCGGCCTAACACTCACCTTACGCACACATTTCGCAACGCATTTCGCATGCTAATACATGCTGCGTTTCATGCGTATAAAGGCTCATTGCGTAAAGCTTAACGCGGCCTAACACTCGCCAAACGCACACATGTCGCCAGGCATTTCGCATGCTAATACA